AACAAAACTATCAAACCAAATTTAGCAACACATTAAACAGGATTATACAAGAGAGCTAAGTAGAACCTATTGGTGGAATCCAAGGATGGTTCAACCGAAACTTGATGTAATACACATTCACAGGAAAACACAGATACACATGCACAGTCATTTCAATACAGAACAAGAATTGGCAAAGTTGAACACTGTTCATGACAAAAATTACTCAACACGCCTGGGAGCAGTGACTGTAACACAGTGAAATCCACATGACAGTAGATGACTGACAGCTTTTCCACTAGGGTGATAAACAAGGGGACTTACCAGGACAAGCCACAGAATGGACTTAGCAGTGTAAGGCTTTATTGCTGTAGTTAATTAATGGCTCTAATCACCCAGGAAGTGGTGCGTCTTCCTCACCACCCACCACACCACCACAATGTTCTAGGTTCCCAAATGAAAGACACACATGCAGCCTTATATTTAATATGCCTTAAGCACCTCAATGGCTGGGCCACTCCTACGCTTCCATGTTGCTAATGCCTCCCCTCTGATACTCTTGAGTCATTACTTACTAAAATCTATATTCCATCTTTGCTACCCTAGACCCAATTGGGGGGTGGGGGGAGGCTGGAGCCACTCTTCCCTGGCTCTTACATGATTGGTATGTTCTCTCTTCTGTAGCTCTCAAGCTTGGATCTTATTCCTTTCTCTGCATGATAATTCTCCTTTCTCCCCTGGTCTCTTTGCCCAAGAATCCTGAATTCCCGCCTCTGTCTCCCTGCCCAGACATTGGCAGCTGGCAACTTTATTTTACCAATCAGAACCAACTTGGGGCAGGGACTCTTAGCGTCTTACTTATGAATTCTCATGCACTTTGGGAAACCCAGATAACATAATACAAGCATTAGACCAAATCTACAACAAGGCTTGGCCTGGCCTGGCCACTTCAGTTAGGAGCCATATTACAGCTGATGCATATGCCTTTCTTTCCAGAGCCTCTTTCTGTGGTTATTTTTTTTTGTGGGGGGAGGGGACTATATTGCCAAGAATTTTATTGGTGTGAAAGGACACTGGGATATGAATAGCTTGGCATACAAAACCAAATCTTGGTTCAGTTCAAAAGCACTGACACCCCTTCACCCCAGCAGTATCCAAACGGTTGCCCCAAAATACCTGCCAGACCTATTGGACAGGACTCATCTATTTTGTGGTCTGTGATGGTTAGTGCTGATTGCCAAAGAGCTCCAGGCTCACTTATGAAGAATTAATTACCTTGATTAGGTTAGCCTCCAGCCATGCCCGTGAGGTGTTATTTTGACTAGGTGAAGGTGGGAACACTTACTCCAGAAGGAACCGGCACCACCCCAAGCTCTGGCTCTTGATCGCATAAAAAGGAAAAAGCTGGGCTGAGCACCAGCCTTTATTACTCTCTGCGTTGTCACTATGGGTGCAATGTGACTGGGTGCCTCTAGCTCCAACCTCCGTGACTTCTCTGCCCATGACCAAATTAGCCCTTTCTCCCATAAGCTGTGTTTGTCAGGGGATTTTATCACAGCAATGATCCTAGTAACTTATACAGGGTCTCACTCTAGTTTGGATCTTGCTGCTCCTCCAGAAGCCCATGCATGAAAGCTGGGTGAAAAGCGGGGGACCTTTAAGAGGTGTAACGCAGTGAAAGCTATTCAGTTCATGGAGGCCATGCCCTCGAAGGGGACTGTGGCAGCTGAGCGCTTGTCCTTCTTCTCTTTCACTTATGAGCTATGAGGCGAGTGAGTTTATTTACTACTAAGCGACCTATCATGGTGGCCTCCACTGGCCAAAAACAATGAGACCAGCCGGTCACTGACCAAAAAGAAGCTTCAGAACAGAAAGATGAAATAAACTGTTCATCTTGATACATCTTGATACATACTATCTTAGGAATTTGTTACAGCACTATGAAGCCTGCTGATGCATACCACCAAAAAGGCCAAGAGAGAAGTTTAGACAGGTAGAGGGAGGAAAGGAGGGAAGCAAGGAGAGTGCAGGGACCCCTGGAGTCCAAAAGAGGGCATAGAATTCCTTCCAGCTGGAGTTACAGGAGAAGGATACATTCTTAACTGCTGACCCATCTCCCCAGACCAGCTTTTGTCTTTTTGTAACTGGCTTCTGCCCCTAACTCAAAGTCCTCAGTGTTTCTCCATGCTGTACGACATATTGGAATGTTCTCTTCCTTTAAGGAAGAATAATATTTCATCATATATATCTAGTATTTCTTGTTTATGTATTCATTCACTGATGGACATTTAGGCTGTTTCACCACTGGCTTTACGAAATTACTCCTGGACATACAACAGTGAATAAGATGGTCTTAAAAATTAAAACAAAAGATTTTAAGCATAAAATGAAACAAACCCTGTTGCAGAAAGACTTCTGAGATGTATTGTTAATGAAAAGAACCCAGAATGGGACAGTGTGGGGGCTATGCTATTTTGTGGGTAATAAAGAAACAGGAAAATAAATGTTTATATTGCATTTGTGTGAAGAAACTATACGGCGATAGATAAGAAACTGATCCGAGAGTCATCCATACTTACAGGAAAGGGCATGAGTGCATGGCCTGGAGCCTCAGCGTGCTTCTTGGAAAGACATGTTTTCACACACGAATGCTTGATGTGTCCATCACCCTGTGCTCTCCCTCATCTTCCACTCTGTCACTTAGGACCCGCCACCTGGCCTCAGTCAACCTAAGCACACTTTTTCATAATCACCCGCCTTCCCCTTGTTGGTCCCATGACAGGCATGCTTTTCCACAGGCTCATTCCTGCCCTCAGTTCTCAGGTTAGTGACCTTCCCAAGCTCCTACTTGGCAGCCTGTCCCCTCTCAGGTCATCCTTGTAGGACACTCCTTCAGCTCATAGCATGAGCTAGGGATCTAGCCACCCACCCCCAAGGACCCAGCATCAAGTGCCCAGTGCTAAGCTAGGCCTAGGGGTGTTCTGTTTCCCTGATTGACTTGTGCAACATCCCTCCGTGATTCTCCCACGACCTGCAGACTGTTCCCACGACCTGCAGACTGTTGCCCCACCCCACATAGAGTTTCAGTGTCACCTCCACGCTGTCACTGGCCCATCTGGGAGAAAATTGGACTGGAATCCAGGATGGGCTACAGGGTGAAGAGAGTAGCAGACATTACATGGAAGAGGGGAACATTGGAGCTCACATAGTTTGGCATGTAAAGTAAGAACCAGGTGCTGAGCCACAGGCATGAGACAGAGCTAGCACCTGCTGTCTCTAGAGATAGCTACCCTCTCCACTGAGAATCTTCAGGACCCCCACCCCCACCATCTTCATCTGCATCGGCTTCCCCGCACAGATGGACAAGAGGTGGTTTGTGAAAATTTCATTTTCAGGACTGAAAATTGAATGTAGGGAGGTAAAAATAAAGCTGCGACTATTGCCAGGGTCAGGACTGTCCAGGCTGCCGTCCACAGGGACTGACCAAGCACTCGCTAATTCTGTAACCCCATCCCAGCACTTCTCACAGCACAGACGGTGGACAGCCCTCTGGAGAGTTCCCCCTCAGTCCTAGTTCAGAGTCTCTGGGGGACAGAGAAAGAAATCCAAAGCCAGAGTCTTTCAGGGGGTGAGCCTATAAGATTCTGTGTTTGAGAAAACAGGGTGACCTGACTGTCTAGGCTGGAACTGTTTCAACACCCACAGACCTCCAAGCATGTGTGGAAGAACTGGGAGCAAGCACAGGCTCCCTGTAAAAATGTGCGCGCGCCCTCTGCTGGCCAGGCCACTGAAGTGCTCAGCACTGGTCTAGAGGAGGCCTGCATAGAGAGGACACTAATGCAGAGGGTCCTTAGCTACACCAGCAACTGACAGAAGCCCCCAGGCCTACAACATGGCTCACAGTGAAAATCTACTGATGTCCCCAGGGGTCAGACATGGCTTTGGAGTAGAGAGATGCTGGGCAGAAGCAGGGATAGCCCCACTGAAGAGCTACTCAGTAGGCTAATGCAGGAGGACCATAAGTTCAAGGCCTGCCTAGACTACAGAGAACATACAAAGCCAACTTGGGCAACTTAGCAAGATACTGTCTCTAAATGAAAAGTAGCAAAGCAAGCTGGAGATGATAGTTCAGTGGTAGAGTCCTCAGGTAGTGCGCACAGGAGGTCAATCCCAGCTGTCTCCCTCCAAAAAGCGTGTGCTTACTTTCCTAGCTCCTCACGGTGTCAAGATGAACTCACCAGTGTTGAGCCTCCCCAAAGTCCAGTCAATAGGACCTCATGGGGAACAATAGCTTCCAAGTGTCAAGGAAGAGCTGGGATTGCTTCTGAACCCCTAATCTGAGTCACGATCATCCCTGAGCCTATTTTTGTGGCCAGTACCTGGGGAAAGATGGTGGCTATTAAGAACTTGGACAAACAACTTTCCTGTGCTTGGTAGCTCACCCCTAGAGTCCAGGCAATGGAAGAATCTGAAACAGGGGGATTGTTGTGAGTTGCAGTCCAGCCTGAATTATGAAGATAGAGAGAAGCGGAAGGATAACCAACTATTAAGGATGTGTTTTCCGGAGAAACACATGGTAAAGAAGAGATGGTTCACGGGGAAAGACTTGGGGAGGCTATAAGAAAATGGGGGTGGCCAGGCAGTGGTGGTGCACACCTTTAATCCCAGCACTTGGGAGGCAGAGGCAGGCAAATTTCTGAGTTCGCGGCCAGCCTGGTCTACCGAGTGAGTTCCAGGACACCCAGGGCTACACAGAGAAACCCTGTCTCAAAAAGAAAGAAAGAAAGAAAGAAAGAAAGAAAGAAAGAAAGAAAGAAAGAAAGAAAGAGAAAAAAGAAAAAAGAAAAAAAGAAAATGGGGGTGGGAGTTGGGCTATAAAGTGGGGGGCACTGGCAGCCTCTCACGATGTACTCGCTGAACTTAAGTGTGGACAGTGAGAGGCACAGTTCTCCAGACTGGAACCCAGAGAATCAGTGGGCCCCAGCTCAGGTTGCCCCCCCAACTGTTTCTTACCATTGCAGGCAGGCATGCCCCGGACACTGACTGCCTCGGACATGGTCACCCCAGGCAGCCTCAGCCCGCCTCCTACAGAATCCACAGAAGGCGAGCAGGCTGGGCAGCCCCTCCTGGACGGAGCTCCATCCTCAGCCTCTTTGGAGACCCTAATTCAGCACCTTGTGCCCACAGCCGATTACTATCCCGAGGTAGGTGAGCCACCAGGCAGTGGGGAAGGGGCAGGAGAGCATGGCGCAGGTGACAGGGCTGGAAATGGGCTCGTGTGTCTGGGGAGTGGGGGCAGGCTGGTGACACACCCTCTGTGCTCTGATGACTTTGTGTGGTATCCTCACCAGAAAGCCTACATCTTCACCTTCCTGCTGAGCTCTCGTCTCTTCATCGAGCCCCGAGAGCTCCTGGCTCGGGTGTGCCACCTGTGCATAGAGCAGCAACAGCTGGACAAGCCGGTGCTGGACAAGGTGAGGACCTAGGCAGGCCAGGGCCCTCTGAGTGCATCTGTATCCCCTGGGTCTGACCTCACGATGTCAGCTTGGGGGAGGCAGTGGTTGCTCCATCCTCTGGAAAGGAAGCCTATTAAGCCACTGACTTACCTGAGGCCCAGGACCTGCAAGAATAGTTACCCTTACCCCTGTGCCATTCTCCAAAGTCCTGTGAGATCTATTAAAGCCAGACCTGAGTCCCCGGAACCTAGTCTGTAGGGCCCTTACCACCTGTAGCATGGGATAGCCCCATGCCTCTGCAGGATTTCTTTTCAGTTAGATTTTATTTCTGTGTGAACATGACTTCTCTATGTCATGCCTCCTCAGGCCCTTCCTACTCTCCCTGTCTGATCCTGTAACTTACAACTTTCTATATCTATGTCAGTCAGGCTGGGTACATAAACCCAGCTTCAACTGGCCCAAGCGAAGCGACATGGCTAACTCATGTGCCTGCCCAGCATTGGGTACTTCTCTTTGAGGAGTCCAAATCACCCAATAGGACATGGGTTTTCATATTCGGATGCTCACCCCCTGGTTTCATCTGGGACCACAGGCCTCACCTTGTACTGGCTGATTCTCCTGCACAGTAATAGGTGGCCTCCTTTGTCAGGGTGACCTTCTAACCTCTGAATCACATGGAAAGACCTTAAAAGGTAAAAGGTTGAGATTTGATTGACCTAGCTTAGGTCACATGTTCATCTGTGTACAGGTATTACATGTGATGCCTTAGAATCCTGGGATCTGATTGGCCAGTACTCATATAGTTCCAGCCCTGAGTCAATTAGCTGGGCCTGTTTCTCTGGGAAAAGAGATGGGGAGCCCCATGGGAAAACTAAGGTAGCCTGACGCTAGCAAAGAGAGAGACCAGGGATGCTGTCGGTGGTAGAAATGAGATGGACCCGGCCTCAAAATATGTGTCTGCCTCACTTCAGTCCCCTGTGTGAGCAGAGTCATGGAATCTCCCCTCCCATTCTCTACTTTGTTGTTCTCTTCCTGCTGCAGGCCACAGATAGCCTGAGGCTTGCCACAACTACTGCCAGGGACCACGGTATAACCCAGAAGGGCAGAGCCTGCTCAGAGAGAGGCTCACTACAGCCCACCAAATGGCCCCTGCTTCTGCTTGCCTTGCAGGCCCGAGTCCGGAAGTTTGGTGCCAAATTGCTCCAGTTGTTAGCGGAGTGGACTGAGACCTTCCCACGGGACTTTGAAGAGGAGTCCACCATTGGACACCTGACAGACGTGGTTGGCCGCATCTCCCCATGTGACGAGGTGAGCCGGACAGGGTAGAAGTCACTTCCCCTTCCTGTACCTTCCCACCCAGGACCTGAGCCTGTTACCAGCTTCCTCTGTGCTCTTCTCTCCCCAGACTGCATAGTATAAACCTTCAATGGGCCCTCTGGAGCCCACGGAGGAGCCAGGCCCCGCATGGCTGAGAGGGAATCCAGGGCCCTGTTTAAAACAGGCCACTATCTCTACCTCTCCCTTTTGTCTTGGCAATGGTAATAGGTAGCGAATAAGACCCAACCATGGGCTCAGATGGACTGGTGGCAGCAGTGGCTCTGTAACCCACTAAGCCACCTGCAAAGGTCCCTTCCAGGGGCCTACAGAGGCCTCCCTCCCACAGGCCTGCTCACCATGTAGAGAAGAGATGGCATTCAGTGTTCATGGCCAAGGATCTATAATTTGGGACAGGAGGAGGGCTCCACAGATGAACCCCAAGAGTAGCTGAGAGAGCAAGTTCCCTAACTGCCTGCCACTCCTCTGCCAACTCTCAGGCTAGCTCCTTGGCACATATGGAGTAGAGATGTCTCTAGGAGTAATATTTACCACAGGCTAACACTCTTAGGGGTCTATTGTGGGCTAAAGGCCAAGACTCTTGGGATATATGGATATCTCAATAAATCCAGCTAAGCGAATGGCATCTCTCTTTAGAAATAGTGTCTCTAGGACTGACATGGCTCAGCAGTTAAAGGAAGAAGGGCCCGAGTTCAGTTCTCAGCATCCACACTAGCATCACACCTTCCCTGTGACTCAAGCTCCAGGGCACTGATGCCCTAGTCTGGCCTCTGAAATGTACACACCTGCACACAGATGAACACGTATGAATCTAATTTGATTTTTAATTTAAAAAATTTAAAGGAGAAATAGAGTCTCTGAGAGATGATGGGTTTCTCATTGTAAGTAGAAGGTGCCCCTAAGGAACCTCTTGTCCCTGCCCCAGCTCAGGGCACAGTCCAAGGCAGGCTGTCCTTCTGAGCTCCATGTTAACAGGGTTTGTCCTTGCCCTGTTCACCAAGTGCACCCCGCATGCCCAGAGCTGGGCTGGGTTCTTGTAACAAAGATGGCATTTCCTGCCCCATGTGGCATCATTCTAACTGGGGTCCTGTGAGGAAGGCAGCATTGCCAGGATCTGAGGCAGGAGAGTGAGGCTGGTCCAGAGCCTGGTTCAAAGCCAGGCTTGAGGACAGGATGGTTCTCACTGGAGACAGTAAGAGGCCAATCCTCCAGGGCTGGGTCTGACCTGTGCCTGTCCTTCCTCCTTTTCCTTCCTTCCCTGGTTTGCCTGAACTTCTCTGCCCCAATGCCCAGAAGCAGCTGGTACATTTTAGCCAGAGATATTCTACCTGAAGCATTTTCTCATCCCCAACCTGTAACCCACAGCCTTCTCCCCAGCTGGTCTTCACTTCAGCCCCAACTACCACATGTCCATGTAGGAGCTTTTTCAGGATGGGACAGGTCCCAGGATATTTGCTGGTACCTGGCCTTGTCCACAGAGGCACCACACACACACACACACACACATTCAAAACACACATACAAACACATACACGCACCACATACACACACCACACACATTCAAAGCACACACAAAAACCACACTCAACACACACCATACACCACACACACACACATACCACATACACACACACACACACACAAAACACATACACACACTCAAAACACACACAACACACACACACACACACACACACACACAGGAGCCCAAGAACCTGCAGCTGGGGTTGAGTTTGGGATGTGGGACTTCAGGCCTAAATGCCTTCTCCCCCTACCCCTAGACCTACGGGAACAGGATGCACCAGCTCCTGCAGACTCTGCACCAGAAATTGGCATCACTTGGCCAGGGACCAGAAGGCCTGGTGGGGGCCGACAAGCCCATCTCCTACAGGACCAAGCCCCCAGCCTCCATCCACAGGGAGCTCCTAGGTGTTTGCAGTGACCCCTACACACTGGCCCAGCAACTGACCCATGTGGAGCTGGTGAGTGGGACCCAGGGAAGGAGCCACTGGTCATAGCAAACATTGCCCCCATCCTGTCTTTCCTGATCTCAGCATAGCCCAGGGACCCAGGCCCAGTGGACCCCTGCAGAAGACTCTAGAGCAGTCCCTCAGGATTCTTAGGCCTGGGACAGGAGGTCTGCAGGTGCCAGCTAAGGGCCTAGGCTGAGGACAGAGGAACGGGGTTCAAACTCTCATTCTGATGCCATTCACTGTGTGGTCTTCCCAGACCTAAGGAACTTGCCATTTGAGTCCCACACACGTGGGACTGGAAGTAGGGGAGGCTGCTCTCCAGTTTTCCAGAGTAGCAGCTGAACCCTCTTTCATGTTGGTAAAGGGAATGAGCTGACCTCACCCCAAGCACATGGGGTTCTGTGTAGATACAGAGGCTAAAGGACCCCCAGAGAGAGATAATGGAGGGAAATTGGCACCTCCCTGCCACACTTGCACCCCTGACTGTTCCCTTGATGGCTTCCAGGACGTGCCTCGTTCCCAGCTCCCAGCGTGTGCCCCTCCCTCTGTTCTGACTCTTCTCCCCTCCCCATGCAGGAGCGACTAAGGCACATTGGGCCCGAGGAGTTTGTCCAGGCTTTTGTGAACAAGGACCCTCTGGCGGGCACAAAGGTAAAGGTTCTTGGGAGAGCTGAGACTATAATGGCCTCCACCCAGTGTCGGCCACGAAACGGGGAGATCTCATGGACATCATCTGGGAAAGCCTTGATGCTGCCCAGAGCGAAACAGAGGGGCCATGGACACTCCACCCAGCCTTTCCAGCTCAGCTGTCCAGCACTGAGTCCCAGAGAGACCAGGGGATTGGGTAGACATACCCCGCCAGATCACTCACTGAGCTAGGGTGGAGGGAGAGTCAGGAAGCCCACTGTCACCTTGTGTCGAGAGAGAGTACAGGGTGCACCTTGCCTGGTGGGACCTGGGGAATCCTCCTTGTGCGTTTCGGCAGGCGCTGGTGTCCTCTAGCGGCCACCGTAGGAAGTGCTGGCTGGTGCTCGTTGGCTTGAAAAGATTGGGAGGGTTGAGCCACACTAGCATTTAGAGCTAGTTCTTTCCTCCTAGGGTCCCCCAGCTATAGGAATAGGGCATCTAACCAACCGGCTAGATCCAGTCAGAACTGGAAGCATCCATTATTTATATCCCTGCCTTTTAAAAAGGAGCGCAAATTAATGCTGTAGTGGTAATTGCTCTCCCTTCTTTTTTTTTTTTTTTTTTTCCCTCTGAGCTAGCTAGACAGAAAACAAAGCTGCCCATGCTTTGGTAAAGATCACAGGACTTTACTAGGTGGATGAACAATGGCATCCACTCTGCAGATGCGCTTCCTCAGGCTAGGAGCTGGAGCTCACGGGCAGAATCCTTTCCTCCCTCGGGAACCCCTTAGGTTCATTCTAGTCCCAATCCCTGGAGGGAAGGGAGGGGAGATCGAATTTCACAGGCATGTAGTTGAGAATTTGAAATATTTGACATTTTTATGAGATGTCCGTCCATATTCTTGCCAGATGCAAGTGCTAATTTTTAAACATTCATCATAACATGAGATCCAAAAAATGTATCAGTGACCTTTCCATACACCGTGTTGTCCACTGGACTGTAACACACCTTGAATATGTGATTTTATAGCGCCGTACATCTTTTTTAAAAAACACAGAGACACGGAGTAGAGCAGATCTCCCCACTGTTGGGGAGAAAACCCATGAAAACTCAGAGGGTGTCAGGCTCACAGAGGTGGGTGAGGGTTTTGTAAATTCCCAATTTTTTCTTGAAAGCTTGGACTTCACCATTGGCAACAAATGCTGTGAGTAGTTTTCTTGGAAGTGATGGGCTTTTTATTCAAGGCAAGATCAGTCAAATGCTGAAGTCTGAATAATGGGAGTTTCTCTGTCATTCTTCAAGTCAAAATGATATTCAGTGAAAACCAGTGGTCAGTTCAGGTGCTCGCCCTTAAAACAACAGTTTTTTTTTTAAGTTTTTACTCAACATCTATTTAATTCAGAATCGGAGTTAGTAAGACCAGAAGAGCTTGATCTATGATTAATTAGAGAGACATTTTCCAGAACATAGGAAAAATGAGCCGAATTTAACATTTGGTGATGATTAGTAAGTGGAAGAATTTAACAGCAATAGCAATACTCAGTGTTATATGTAAATCACCACATCTTATATATTTATACACTTAGTTTTCTTGGGTTTTGCTTTTTGTTTCTTTGAGACAGGATTTCCCTGTGTGTAGCTATGGCTGTCCTAGAATTCCTGTAGACCAGGCTGGCCTCAAAGCCACGAAGATCCATCTGCCTCTTCCTCCAGAGTGCTTAAAGTCATGGACCATCACTGCCCAGCACATTTAGGCTTCTTATAAAATGCATTTCTTATTTCTGCTCTATAGACAAGGAAATACTTTGACTTTATAGATAGTAAAGCACTTTGAAGGTCAGGGAAATTAGTAAGGAGACCAGGTATTGTGTGGCATGCATCTATACTCCCGACACTTAGGAAGCAGAGGTGGGAGGATCATGAGTGCGAGGCCAGCCTGGACAAGAAAAACAGCAGAGATGCAAATGCATGTATTATATCCCCAAGAGCCAAGCTCAGCCTTAATACTGTTAATTTGCCATTTATATGTTTCAGTATTATACCATATTCACTATCATACTATTCTGTAGTTTTTCCCTCTGAGAACTAAAGACAAGCCAAAATTGGCTTTAGTGCAAATCCACATAGAAGCCTGAAATTGGATTTGTTTCACTTGTTTTGTGGTTATAGCCATTAAAATGCTATTTAGCTTTTACTGCGTAGTTATCTTTTAAGACTGCATTGCACACTGTATTATATTAATATCAGATAACCTGAATTATAACTCCCATCCTGTGTCTAATCACATGTTTTCTGTAGACTGACTCAGTATCTCTTTTCATTAAGCATCTCTTATTAGCCACAGTTCTAAACTCACAATTTCTATATAGTCATGTGATGTTTCCTTTAGTATTCTTGTAACACCCTGAATTTCTTTTTCTTCTTGGTTTTTTTTTTTTTTAAATCTTTTGAGACAAGGTATTTGTAGCTTAGGCCAGCCCCAAACTCCTTGTGTAGCCAAGGAGGATCTTGACCTGCTCCTCCTTCCTGCCTTTGCCTTCCAAATGCTGAGGTTACAGGCATGTGCCACCATGCCAGCAATACTGTTTCATCCTTCCACATCCTCTTCTAGAGTTATTAGTTGAACGCTTCGTTCTCCTTTACCTGGTTACTGAATGAGTTCAAATCCAGCCAAAGCAACTTAGAAAGACCTTTACTTAAAAGAAAAGGTAAAAAGAGGAATGGAATTAAATCAGTGGTAGAGCACTTGCTTGAGATCTTTAGCCAGAATTCTAGCTTAGTTTAAAAATGCTGTTAGAACCTACTTGGGATTAGATGAGCTTCCTTGACGATATCTTCCAATAAAGAACCCTTAGAAAATTCTAGCTACTATCCTTCAAATTTTCCCCATCTCCTCTGTTAACTTCCATTGAAATCCATTAAATATGCTGCTATATGCTGCATTCTGCTTTCCAAATCTGTTTAACAATTTGGAGATATTTTGCACAAACACTGACAGATTTTAATGTGAATAGGTCTTTCTGTCTAAGAATCTACACTCATAAATAAGAGGGCATGATAGCCCACTCCTGTAACACTCTCAGTATGCAGGAGGCTGAGGTAGAATGATCCTAGATCAAGACCAGCTTGGACTACATAGGGAATTCCAGGCTAATTTGAGCTTTGTAGAAAGATCCTGGCTTAACCCACCTCCACACACCCACCACATGCACAGGCACATGCTTTAATCCCAGCACTCAGGAGATAGCGGCAGTCTCTGTGAGTTTGAGGCCAGCCTGGTCTACACAGCAGGTTCCAGGCATCCAAGACATCATAGTGAGACCTTGTCTAACAAACAAAAAGAACTAGAAAGAAAGAAACCTTTGTACACTATCTGTACCCTGGGCATCAAGGACATGAAGGAAAGGTATGACTAGGTGGCTTGAAGGAGTGAAGGTAGAGTCCTTGCCCTCTGCCCCTGAGTGCTCACTTTCCTTCTGAGTAGACATAGAATTCTGAGGAGGGGAGAATAAAGAGTTCCCAGGTTAGTGGTACAGGTAGTATATACAAAAGATCTTGCAGTCATGGCTCGAGTTAAGGGACAATAGTATGGTTTGGTGTCACCGCTGCAGGGTAGCTTGCTGCTTGTATATCTTCAATAGGAAATTTGGAGCCATATATAAGCTCCATACTACTGAGGATATGACACAGGCAACGATGGCTGTTTCTGGCCTTTTGCCTCTTTTCTCAAAGAATATATTGTTTTGCAAAAAGTTGAGGTCTCATGAATTTTCCCAGTAACCCTTGCATTTTTCCTCTTTCTGTAAGTGGCCAGACACTTCTGAAGATGGTCTGCTACTCTCGTGACCCAGAAAACCCATGGTCTGCACCTCCTTTATCACTTGGTCCATATCTCTGACCTTGCTTATCCATTGTGTTCTTTTCTTTTTCTTTTTTCTTTCTTTCTTTCTTTTTTTTTTTTTTTTTGGTTTTTCAAGACAGGGTTTCTCTGTGTAGCCCTGGCTGTCCTGGAACTCACTCTGTAGACCAGGCTAGCCTCAAAACAACAGTTTTTTGTGAGGTATTTTTTGTTTGTTTTTTGTTTGTTTGTTTGTTTGTTTGTTTTTTTATGTCAATTTTGTAACTGATGGTACTGAATGGGACTTTTTTCCTCCTTTTTTTTTTTTTTGGTGTTAGGGGTTGAACCTAGAGCCTCCTGTATGGTAGGCAACTGAGCCACCAGGTGGTGCTGGGAGCTTCTAGCAAGTGCTCTTAATCACTGAGCCACCCCACCAGCCCCTAAAATAGTATCCGTTTTTTATCTCTATGGCAACCATGAAATAGAAATCCCACTGGTATCAGAGGGACAGGAGGTGTCTACCGATCTTCCGCCATCACTTTACATCTCTGAAGTGCTAAGATCGTTACTTAATGCAGGACACCTGATTTTACTTATGGCACCAGCTTGCACCCCAGTACCACGTTAAGCAGACGTGTTGAGAAATGACACCCTTCTATTCCTAGTTTTAAAAGGACCACTTTTAGCACGCCTGCTAGATAGAGTGTTTGCTATTAGATGATTTCTTCAAGTGTTGGAAAAGTACCTTGCTTCTTAGTGTGTCAGGAGGTCTCACATGCATGGTTGCTGAGTTTTGGTGACTTCGTTCTCTGGCTCTATTACCCTGCATAGATTAAAGGCAGTACAGATAGTCTCAGATGTGCCAGTATGCATCAGCATCATATTAACGAAAGGATCCGACACATGTGTCCTCTTGGACTTTGACCAAGAGCAAGCCCAAATGTGAATTCTCCGTTCCTCTCCATGTGTCTTCTGTCTGTGTGGCTTATGGTTTCTGTTCTGTCGCCTATCTGTCCATCTGTCAGATGAGTCCGAATCTGTGCCTGGCTGAATGCTGTCTTTGTGAATCTGTCCCTAACAAAGGGCTTTGCCCTCCTCTATTAAACAGACTGCATAACACGAGGAAGGCTACTATACAGAAATACTTTAATTGAGTTTTACAAGGAATGAAACTACCAGTTCCAACCTTCCCAAATAACAAGTGGTCCTGCAAACAGTCTATCTCCGTGCTCTTTCCAGCGCTGGTGGCAGATATTTATTGTACAAGGTCTCTTTTGTCCTGTTCGCTATTTTCAGCAAATGGTTATCATAGCACACATTCACACACACCACGCATTGCTCTGGGCCAGGGGCATGAAAGAAAAACGCAATTTAAGATTAAAGTTATGCACAAGCTTAGGCTGCAAAAGCTGATTGTGTGGGAAATCTAAGACAAGGATGGTTGTTAACATTTTTCCAGGAGAGGTAGGCTGAATAAACAGGCTGAGTGCACAGCAGGACACCAATCAGTCTTAAGTGAGTTTAAGGCGTGTAACTACCTTGGTTGTAAGGTCCAACAAAAGTTCCCATCTCTTGGATGTAAGAGATATTTTCATAATAACACATCCTCACAGAACTCATGTGTTGCTTCTCTCCTCTACACTACTAAAAGACTGTTTTTACTAGCTTTTAAAAATCAATGTTGGATCCACCTTATGATTCTGAAATAAGGAGAAGATAACCCCTGTCTCTCTGTATTCCTGGGTCTTGCGTGCTGTTTTGTTTGGAGATTCTGCCACCATCACTCACGAGTGAGATTGAGCGGCTGCTCTTCTACCTAACACTATTTACAGCACCTTAACTTCTTGTTGTGTGTAGAAGACTGGCATTACCTATTCCTGGAGCTTTGATCAGCTTTTGTCAGTGAAAACTCATGAGTCTTGGAGTTCTTAGAGGAGTAACTTTCTTTAACTCACTCAAGTTTTTTCTTGCTGGATTGTTTGTTTATTCTCACTGTTACTTAGTAACTCTACAGCTATTTAGGTTTTCTATCCTCTGCCCCAAAGCAATCCCGAGGCTGGAACTTAAGGCCATTTGGTTCTACCTTTGAGCTACACTCCCAAGTCTCTCTCTTTTTTTTTTTTTTTTCTTCGAGATAGGGTTTCTCTCTGTAGTTCTGGCTGTCCTGGAACTCACTCTGTAGATCAGGCTAGCCTCGATCTCACCAAGTCTCCTTTTTGTTTTTGTTATTTTGTAACAGGCTCACTAACTAGTCCAGCTAGGCCTTGAACTTAGGCTTCCCCTGCCTCAGGCTCCTGGGTAGCTGGCTTTTGCCTTTCTCTTTCCTCTTAAGTTACTTTGTAACTTCTTATATTGTTTCAAGAACTTAGCCTTTTTCCTTAAATTTTCGTGTTTACAGATACAAAGTTACTCACTGGCAACTACTCTTTTAAATTTCTTCTCATCCATGTTGGAGAACCATTACCTTTTTTTGTGATTTATTTCTGTCTCTTCATCAATATAACAATCACATCACTGGGATTACAGGTGAATGCAACCAAGCTTGGTGCACATGCGTGCATGTGGTGTGTGTGTGGGGGGGGGGGGGGGATCGGGGCATCAGATTCAGGTCTTCATGCTTGTCTGGCAAGCACTTTACCTACCGAGTCATCTCCCCAGTTCTAACTCCCTATTCTGAAGACATGTTACTCAGCACAAACATGTTTAGACTCGTGATATTTTTGTAAGGAATTGAACCTCTTATCACAGTGTGGTTACCCTTTAGTTGCTTCTACAATGCTTTTCCCTTAGAATATTTTTTTCCTTAAAATGCTGTCCAGATGTTACAAATCCTCCTTTATTTTCAATGGGGTTTCTGTCCTGATAAGCCCACCATAAAACTGAAAAATTGTAATTGAACCACCAGAGTTGGAATTCTCAGAATGTGACATATGTCAAATATGCAACTTCCTACTTCTCTTTTATTTACATCTTTGACTTAGAAAATGTCAAGAAACAGGATTTGACTGTAGTTGCTGATCTTCAAGGGTCTGTCCTCATCCCCTCCTGTGATGTTTGTCATCATCTTCCTTGACTTCCCATTTCTGTTTCTTTCCTTTCTTTACACTTTTTTCCCATATACCTCCTCTACTCATTGAATATCACTCCAGTAGTTTTAACATACATATTTCTTTACCTTAAGTTTAATCATTTAAACAATGGTCCATGTATTTACAATACATAGAATGTTCAGCATAGGTTGAATTTTTTTCTCCAAACATTTATGACTCAGGAAAAGACTCAAATGGAAATCTATAGATATAGATACACATATATACATACATACATACATACATACATACATATATACATAGATACTTAGAGTTGATTTTGTTACTCCCACTAATTATGTTCTAGAACACCAACGAATATATCACATTAGCAAATCCTAAGCCATTGCTCCTGGGGGGAAATGCAGCATCAGGTGCAAGCTTCTTTTCTCAATATTTTCTACAAGCAATCAACACCTAGCTGTGGTTATGTGCTCATGTGTAAAAGACACATATCTAATGTGCATCACTGATTAACACTGAGCTTAGGGCAAATGGCCAGGCCAGTTCATGCCTCAGTCTGACCTGGAGCTTAGAAATAGAATGTTTGCCGAGCATGTCCAAGCACCACATAAAGGAAATATTTATCTGTATATGTATCTAATCTATCTACCTACTTTTCTGTCTCTCCATCTATCTGTTTGTCTGTCCACTTGTCTGTCTATCCATCTCTCTCTATTTGGCTATCTATGTCTGTATAAGTCATAGATAAATGAGAACTATCTAGCACATGTTTTCTCTGTCGGAGACACCATAGCCTTTGTGTGCTTAGAAATAAAATATATCACTTCAGTATTATTCTTGGAATCCTTTCAAAACATGGAAACTATTCTCCAAAACATAAAAAGAAAAGAAAAGGGAGACTAAACAGAGGCAGGGGAAAGGATCCTTGCTCACAGTATGAGCAGAAACAAGACACAGCAGCTTTATTTAGTTCAATCTTAGCTGGAAATGCTTATGCAAGTGGCTCAGACAATTTGCCTTCCTGTCCCTGCACACCATTGAATGGGAAAGCAATGCAAGCTACTGGAAGAGAGGAAAAGAAGTAGTACACAAATTTGCAAATACAGAATTGATGGGTAATAAATGTTGATTCTGTGTGATATTCATGATATTGAAGTACAGCCTTATTAATTGATGTATCTGTACATCATCTGGTGCTGTGGATGGACCTAAGGACCTCTCACATTGTGAGTGTGCAATCTACTGCAGAGCTCTAGTCCCCAATCCCCCTCTTTGCCTTCTCCTGCCACTGTGATTCTGGGGATAAACCCAGGACCTCCAGCCTACAGGAAGAAGACCAGGAGGTTCCATAGCAGATTACTGTGTTTCTGGTTGACTTTGAGATTATTCCCTTGTCTGGGTTCTTTATAATGACTGTGACCTGATTCTGAGCATGAAAAAGTTATCAACAAGAAGACTCAGCTGGCATGTCTTTCCTAGCCCCGCTTCAATGACAAGACGAACAACGTAGAGGCCTACGTGAAATGGTTCAACAGACTATGCTACCTGGTAGCAACGGAAATCTGCATGGTGAGTAAAGCCAGCTTGGCCAGCCAGAGGCTACCTGGGGATCAAAAGGATGTATCGAATCCCAACCTTCCCAAACCCAGGGCTTGGCTGGACCATTGTACCAGACCATGTTCACCTCTTCCCTCCAGTGAATGTCCTCTGTAGATGGATCTCAGGGTGGATCCATCAGCCAAATGGAAATTAGACTGTTGGGGACTGAGGGCTGGCTACTGAGGGTGTGCCTCAGTCTGGACCTGTCTGCTTCAGGCATCTGGGCTGTGTAGCTTACTTGGGCCTTGGAGATAAAAGGGTCTAACCTTTAAGAATTGGGAAACTCCATGTTAAAAGTCCAGGCCAACGATGAGATTGGAAATAAACCTATTCCTATTTTTTTTTCTTTATTTAATACCAAACCCAATTACTTTTTAAAAATTCATATCTTCAGTGCAACCTAAAGCTAGCTGTTTCTGTGTAGTTAGTAAATGATACTTAGAGGGGACAGGAGGTGATCTTTCCAGGTTTCACTGTGTCTGTTAACCTTGCCCTGTATGTGCTTATTCAGTGTTCTGAAGAATATGCACAATTTCCCCCAAACCAACAATCCCTGGTGTGCACTTTTATCTGTCATTTTTCTGAACATAAAAAATGATGGACCATAAGTTTTAAAAACTGAATTCCAAAACAAGTCCAGACCAGTGGATGCTTCTGTCTGCAGGAAGTTCTGACACTCTAGTGTTAGGCACTTTGACACTGAGGTGAGGTGCCTGGCCAACTCTGGCTGTCATCTTCTCTTCCTTTAAACCAAGGGCACTGTCCTCTGGACATCTATCTTCATCCTCAGGCAGTGGCTCTCAGCCTTCCTAGTGCTGCAGCCCGTGAATACACCTCATGTTGTGGTGACCAATCATAGGATTATTTTTGTTGCTACCTCATAACTATAATTTTGTTACTGTTATTAAGCATAAAGCAAATATCTGAGATGCAGGATATGATATTTGACCCCGGTGGGTCACAACCTACAGATTGAGAACCATTGTCCTAATGCACAATGGGACAGACTGACTAGTTGGGCGTACAGGGTGCAGGTGCTGAGACAGAGCCTGGGGTCAAAGGTCAATGCTCATTAGGGGTCAGCCGCTGAGAGGCGAACAGGGCGGTCAGGTTTGTGCTAAGGGAGAAACTGACCTGTGGTGTTCATAGTAGGCTGACATGGCCAGCTTCTATCTAACCATCACCTGGCTCCGTCACTGTCCTCCCTTAGTGTCGCCATCTGAAGGGCAGGACTAATCCTCAGGTGGGCAGCTCTCTGCATCAGAGAGGACTCCTTGGAGGGGCTGTGGTGGTGCACCTACAATGTCACTGCCTGGTGCCCAGAGAGACAATGGTGTTGATAGACAAGAAGGATGCACCCGAATTGTACTGGCCTGAGCCTGTTATCACACTCCCATCACTGGCCTGGCAGCTAAGGTAGGCCAATGTGGAGGCTAGACCACCCAGGAACTCACCTGGGATGGCCCTGGGGAAAAGACAGTTTGGTCCTGAGACACCAGAAAGGTGCAGTGTCTTAACTACTTGTCCCCAAAATGAGTTCTCACAGCGGCATGGTGTTCTGACAGAAAGCAATAGAGGGACAGCAGAGAGAGCAGGGCCCAGGGTTGGTTTAGCCTTGTAGAGGTGCTGTCCCAAAGATGCCTCCCAGACCCTTCAGTTCAGGAGCTTAACAGCCACATGTACCCTGCACACTTCTCAGCTGTGTGCTGCATCTGCTGTGAAGGGTCTCAAAACCCTGGGCCTTGGCCTTCTCAGCTATGAAATGGGCTCTGAGAAGAGCAGAGGGCCAGGCTGGTTGATTGGGGTGTTTGAAGGGGGAGGAACACATGCCCACTGAAGCTCGGATATCCTCTCCCCAGCCAGCCAAGAAGAAGCAGCGAGCACAGGTGATCGAGTTCTTCATTGATGTGGCCCGCGAGTGTTTCAACATCGGCAACTTCAACTCCCTCATGGCCATTATCTGTGAGTGAACTTGCCCAGGCCTTGAATACCCTGTGTGAGGACCACTAGAGGGGTTAAAGTGGACATGGCCGGCAGATGGGGTGCACGTCGAGGGTCTTCTCTGCAGTGGGTGGCTGTGGGCTAGGTGGCCAGCTCCATGGGAGGCAAGGTCAATCTCCAAGGGGTACATCTGAAGAGTCTGGCAGTGTGAACCCACAAACAGAGAAAATGAAGCCAAAATAAGTGTTGATGCTATGGTGGGCCTAGGTAGATGGGTCAGTCAGAGTTACATGCACCCAAGTCCACCTCGGTACAACGTACACCAGCACATGCCCACTCAGCTACCCTTCAGCCACAGTCAGGGCACACCAAGGCTTTTCCTATGGGAACAATGGAAACTGTACAGGCTGAAGGAGCCCGCCCAGCTCGATTTACCTTCTTCCAGCCGGCATGAATATGAGCCCTGTCTCCAGGCTGAAGAAGACTTGGGCCAAAGTGAAAACAGCCAAGTTCTTCATTCTGGAGGTAAACGGGGTTGTTGGTCCAAGGGGTGTGGCCATCTGGTCTCTGAATATAACTACTCAAATGTCTTCCTGTCTCCTTCCAGCACCAGATGGACCCAACGGGGAATTTCTGCAACTATAGGACAGCCCTGCGTGGGGCAGCCCACCGCTCACTGACTGCTCACAGCAGCAGGGAGAAGGTAGGGAAGAGCCTTCAAAGCTTAGAAGTTTCGCCTTCCATAGCTCCTCCCATATTATTTCAGGTGGGCTGTATCAATGTAGTCTTCAGCTTTCAGTCACTGTAACCAAATACCCGACACAAACAAGTTATAAAGCAAAAAGGTTCAATTTTGCTTGCAAGTTTCAGTCCATGATTAGTGACTTTGTTACTGTGGGTCTTTTATGGTAAAGACACGTGATAAAAATTAAGTTGCTCACTTGATGCAGGGGAGCCAAAAAGAGGAGAAAAAACTCAGAAGTCAAAGGCATATCCCGGTGACTAAAGATCTCTTGCTAACTCAACTCCATCTCCTAACGTTTCCACAGCCTCCCATGAACACCTCTCTGGGAAGCAAGTCACAGTCATAGGGACCTTTGAAAAACACATGATCCAACTATAGCAGTCAGGACTCTGAGGGACCCAGTCACCTGGCCCAGTCCTTGCCCTAGTAAGCCTGCTGCAGCCAGGAGCCAGGACATTAGAAAGCCAGACAGGAACTTCTCTCCACTGAGTATCTAGAACATGTGGGCTCCATGATTCCCAGCCCTCCATTTAACTCTGATGGGCTTCATTCAGCATTCCCATCTGCCAAACTGGAAGACTGAGTCCCAGTTAAGGATCTTTCACTGTTCCGTTGTACTGTGAGGCAGTAGCAGAGCCAGGTGTCAAACTCCATCCTGCACAGTTTTGAATATACTGGCCTCATTATGCTGCATCGAGGGCTTTGCTGAGCCCAGGACACAAGTGGTGCTGTGTCTTAGCCTCAGGGGTCCTGGCGTCCAGCTCACGAGTTGGACTCTAGGGTGGACTGTATAGAAGCTGGGCTGTCACCACTGATTCGAGAAGTCACTTGCAACAGTGCATTTCTGCATGAGTTTTCTCCCATCCATACTGAGGCTGAGTGACCATGGGGCAGGGTGACACTTCATGTGCCTGTACTCTGAGCCCCCTTCTAGCTCTGGGCTACTAGGGGCTGTTCCTTTACATTGATCTGCACTTTCTCCCTTCTAGATTGTCATCCCTTTCTTCAGCCTGCTCATCAAAGACATTTACTTCCTCAATGAGGGCTGCGCCAACCGCCTTCCCAATGGGCATGTCAACTTTGAGGTGGGTCCACAGGCTTTCAATGAGGCCAGCAAGTGAGACAGCTGCTAAATGTTCCCAGCACAAACAAGGGAGGCAGCTCAAGAGATGCTTCAGCATGACGTGCTTGTGATGCTGAGTCCCACCCGAGTCCCACCCCCAGAACCATGGGAAGAAAAGCTGGGTTTGTTGGCACAGGTTTATAATCCCAGTCCTGGGAGGAGGAGAAAGGTGGATTTCTGGGTGTCTCTGGACAACCAGCTTAGCCTAATTTATAGGCCAGTGAGAGACTCTGTGTTTTTTGTTTGTTTGTTTGCTTGCTTGCTTGCTTGTTTGTTTTGTTTTGTTTTGTTTTCTCAGACAGGGTTTCTCTGTGTAGCCTTGGCTGTTCTGGAACTCACGGAGATCCACCTGCCTCTACCTCCAAGTGCTGGGATGAAAGGTGTGTGCCTCCATCCCCAGCTGAGAAAGCCTATCTTAAAAAGCAGGGTAAACAGTACCTGAGGTTGTCCTCTGGCCTCTACTTTCCCGAGTGCACCTGTAGTCACACAGACACAAACACATACATAGACAAAAGTTGCCAGCATGGGACTGCTAACCCCTGGATAGCTGGATTCATGCGGGCTGCAGGAGATGCAGGGTGCAGCAGTTTACAGCCATTTCAGACTGGGGTCATCCAGGTCCCCTAACATCACCCAGAGGGAGAGGCTGAGGCTCAGGCACATGCCAACAAACATTCCATACTGGACATTGTTCTCAGCACAGTGAGCTGAATCATTTTGGTCCTTGGAAGAGCAGCAGAGTGAAGAGAAAGCCAACCCTGAAGACCTATTATGGCAGCTGGCAAGGTGCTTCAAGGACCACACAAAAGTGTAGGACATGATAACCAGGGCAGGTCCCGAAAAGGAGGGTCCCTGAACTGCAGGATGGAGTTGTAAAGCAGAAACCACAGAGAGCAGAAGCAAAGAGTTTCCTGCTCCCTCACCTCACCAGCCTCATTAGATGTCTTTCAGGAAGTTCCCAAGACCTCTCAAGCAGAGAGACCCCCCCCCCATCTGCTGGCTGTTCCCACAGCAGGCTGGGCATCCGTCACTCAGAGAACCAGAGCTCCTGAACACTTCAGAAGAGCCCACCCATGGACTGATGTGGTGGGTGGGCTCTGCAGACAGAGTCCAGCAAACAGAGCATGGCATGAAGTCTTAGTGGGACCTTCCAATCTATTGGGAAAAGAGGCTCTTGTCTTGCAGAAGCCCCACCTGGTCCCCACTCAGCCTTCAGCTCCAATAAGCATAAATTCTAGACCTAGGACTTGCTCTACAGCAGTGGTTCTCAACCTGTGGATCGTAGCCCCTTTGGGAGTTGAGCAACCCTTTCTCAGGAGTCTCCTAAGACCACCAGAAAACAGATATTGCATTATGATTCATAACAGTAGCAAAATTACAGTTATGAAGTAGCAATGAAGATAATTTTATAGTTGGGGTCACCCCAACATGAGGAACTGTGTTAAAGAATTGCACGTTAGGAGGGTTGAGAACTGCTACTCTATAGGAAGCTCATCCCCCTACTTCTGAAAACTGGGCCACAGCTGTGGCTACAAAGAGGTCTTGGAGGCTGCCAAGAATTCTGTGAGTGTCCCCAGCTGATGAGGACCACAGCACAAGCCTAGGCTCTTTGGGCTACAGCTGGTGTGTCTACACAGATCTCAGGTGACCACAGGCCTGGTTGTCCCAAAGTTGGCAGAGGACTGTCTAGGCCAGCACATGGTCCCAGGGTCTAATGTAGGGGCCACACAGATGAGACTTCAGGGGCTCAAGGCCTGGGATGGGTTTTTTTCTGTTGGTGACCCTGACACATAACTGAGAATGGAGACTTCATCATTCCTCTTCTTGAACTAGTCCTTAGGATCAGAGCCGTGGAAGACTGTGAGCCACTCATGTGACCACACGCCGAGGGAGCAGGTGGTAAGGGTAGATCTGGCTACTAGGGCTGATTGGGGGACGAAGCAGAGCAGGCTTTCCAGCCCAGGCATGACTTTGGGCTGTGTCCTACCTTCTCTGCTGTATCTGTGATAAAAATACACTGACAGAAACAAAGGAGAAAGGGTTTGTTTTGACTTACTGTACCAAGGGGGATGAGAGTCCATCATTAAAGGCAAGGAATGGAGGGAGGAGCAGGAAGCTGGCTGACCACACTGCATCTGCACTTAGGAAACGTGTCCAAACGGCAAGTGGGACCAGGCTGTCAACTCTCCAAGGCCACCCCCAGGGACATACTTCCCCAGCAAATCTCCACCTCCCAAAAGTTTCAGAACCTCCCAACAGCATCACCAGGTGGGGAAGAAGCCTACTGCAGGCATTTCACAGTCAAACGTAGCCGGCTGTTGTGTGTTTAAAGTCTTTTTGAAAGTTAGTGTACTTTTATATTTTAAACACATATGTCATCGGCCCTCTGTTTCCATGGGTTCTGCATCGGTGGAAGGAAAATATTTCTTATTTACATCTGTACTGAAGACTTACAGACTGTTTTGTTTGTCACTGTTCCCAGAACAATGCACACAGAATTCATTTGCATAGCATTACATCATACTAGGTGTTAGGAGGAATCTGGAGATAGCTTAAAGCATGCAAGACGAGCTGTATCTATTATGTGGAAATATTATACCATCTTAAAAAGGGACCAGAGCCTCTGTGGTTTGGGCTATCTTGGTTGAGGTAAAGGGATCCTAAAAGCGATTGCTTGTGCATATTAAAAGATGATTCTAAGCTGCTCGGCAGGGGTGCATACCGTTAACCTCAGCACTCAAGAGGCAGAGACAGGCAGATTTCTGTGAGTTTGAGGCTAGCCTAGTCCACAGAGCGAGTTCCAGGAACTACACAGAGAAACCCTGTCTCAAAATAACAACAACAGCAGCAGCAGCAGCAGCAGCAGCAGCAGCAATGGTTCTACTTTAAAATACACTTAAAAGAATTTACTTAGGGCTGTTGTGATGGCTCAGTAGCCTCAGTGCTTGCGACCAAGCCTGAGGACCTGAGTTCTATCTCTAACATCTCCATGGTAAAAAGATAGAACTGATGTCCTCTGACCTCACCCTGACAGAACTGATTCCTGCAAGTTGTCCTTTGACCTCTACCTGTACACCAGTGTGCAGATATGCCTACATACATATGCACAATAAAATATCACAGATTTAAAAAAAACGAATTTACTTGGGCTTCCTAGATGGAGCAGCAGTTAAGAACATGTACTGCTCTTCCACAGGCCCTCAGTTTGGTTCCCAGCACCATGTCAGGACACTCACAAATGCCTGTAACTCCAGCTCCAGGGGTTTGAACACCCTCTGCTGGCCTCTGTGGGCAGCACATACACATACCCACATATATACCCGTAATTTAAAACAAAGCAAATCTTTTTAAATTACTTAAATTTTATTTAAATAGGTCTACTGAACTGCATTGACATCACTCTATAAGTCAACAAGCTTGTGTCACTTTCCCAAAGAAAATCACAAAAAATTAAATAAAGCTATGCGCATTCTTGCTACGTTTAGGCAAAGGCTGGGGGCAGCCAGATATGGTGGCACACACCTTTAATTCAAGCATTCTGGAGTCAGAGGCAGGAGGATCTCTGTGAGTTCAAAGCTAGACTGATGCATACAGGCAGTTCCAGGCTAGCCCTGGCTACACAGTGAGACACTGTCTCAAAAAGCTGTGGGCCAATGGCTGCTACCCCTTGATGGGGATGTTGTGAGCCTGAGGTGACAGGTAACAGATTCTAAGAAGGAGAATTGGCAAGATTCTCACAGAATACTCAGCATCCTTCCTAGGTTCTGCTGCCACCTGTGGTCCCATGTTCCTTCTCAGATCTGCAAGAAGGGTGATGGCCCAAGGGAAGACGCTCACTCTCCTCCGTTTTGTGTCTCTGTTAACCTGGCAGAAATTTCTGGAACTGGCCAAGCAGGTTGGAGAGTTCATTACTTGGAAACAAGTGGAATGTCCTTTCGAGCAAGACCCAAGCATCACCCATTACCTGTACACTGCCCCCATCTTCAGCGAAGACGGTAAGGTGGCCCCCATGGCCTCCACATCCAGGCAGTAGGACTGTCCCGTGGTCTCTTAGTCACCATTCAGGGACACCAACTCTGGGCTGCAGTAACATCTCACGCATGCTTGCTGGGCCCAGAGTGGAGTAGAGAAAGCATATTCCCTTGTCTGATGAGCACCCAGTTGCCTCCTAAGGAGCACAAAACCAACTCAGCAGGTTGCAGGCTAGCTAGCACCTCAAGGACCCCTGAGTCCAGATTCCTCTCTGAACGTGGTGTGATCATTGTTGGCCATTCTGAACATGAGCAGCCTATCCATCTGCCGTGAGCGTGCTGTGCTACAAGCATACATGGGGATGCTTGACTTTCCACGGTGTCAGAATTCTATACGATGTGGGAGAAGTAGAGTAGGGCATAGCCTCACGTCAGCACCAATGTCCTCTGGTTTTCTCGTTAATAAAAAGTTAGTGGGGGTGAGAACGAAGGCTCACACAAGGAGAGCCGAGCACTGGCGTGGCTACGGGTTTTCCATGGATGGTGCATGTGTAGTCCATGTGACACACACTGGCTTGAGACACTGATTTCTGGAAACTGTGGAACCCAAGACCTCACACACCACCGGGCAAGTGTCCTAAGACTGAGCTAGATCCCCAGGGCTCTGTTTTACTTTTTATTTTGAGGCAGGGTTTCACTAAGTTTCCCGGGATGATTTTGAACTCATTTTGTAGCCCAGGCAAGCCTGACATTGTGGTCCTCCTCCATCAGCCCCCAAAGTAGCTGGGATTGTAGACGTGGAACACCAGGTCTGGCTTGTTAAATGCACTGATATAACTGCTAACAGTTTCACTTTGCAGGGGATTTATTGGGACATAACCATGTCATAACTTAGATAATTGTTTTGTTTGTTGAGGTAGGACCCCACTGTGTAGTTCAGGTTAGCCTAGAACTTATGTAGCCCAGACTAACTCCAAACTCACTCTTGAGTCCCCCAATGTTGAGATTATAGGCAGGAGTTTTATTTTTTGAGACAAGGTTTCACTATGTAGTCCCAGATGCCATGCAACTTTTATGTAGACCAGGCTGGCCTTGAACTCACAGAGATCAGACTGCCTCTGTCTCCTGAGTGCTGGGATTAAAGGTGAGCCACCATGACTGATATAAAACATTATATTACTACATGTGGGATAGCCCATGTTGTTTATTAAATATGAGACACTGTATTTATTGGAGTCCCATGATTGATACAAAGCGGCTGCAGCCCACAGAGAGAAGCACACTTCTCATTGCTAACCAAGGGAAAACTCCAAATTCAAATTTCAGACTGTGATATCTACTAAATATGCCACCTCCCAGCATCATGAGCAGAAAAACTGAACATTAAACCATCATAAGTGAAGGATGTGTTTTGCACATGGATACTGCTGGGGGAATTTGGGTAGAGGGGCCATGGGAATCTCTGCATGTTATTTTTTTAAAATTGCCTGAGAACAGTGACCTCCAAATGAAAAGTTTAATTCACAAACAAAAAGCAGGTCAAGTTCTGGGTAAACAAGGAGCTGTGGTCACCTGCATTTAAGTGCATAATTTCACTTTCATTTTGGTTTAGGTCTGTATTTGGCTTCCTATGAAAGCGAGAGCCCAGAGAACCAGACAGAAAAGGAGAGGTGGAAATCTCTAAGGTGGGTCTGTGTGCCAGGAAAGGAGATGCAAGATGGCTGGGGGAGACAAGTGGGCTGCTTGAGGCCATGAGGAGGCTGAGGGGTTTGTGAGGTATTAGCTCATTAGGTTCCTCCTGTGGGGAGGGATGAGGAACAGGCCAGGACCAGAGAGACAGAGCAGAACTCAAGGGCTGTGGGTCTTGGAAGGAGACTTAGCCAATGATCCCCATGTGGCATGGGCAGGATGAATATCCCAGGGCCTAGACTTTCTTTTCTTCTCTTTTCCTCTCTTCTCCTCTCTTTTCCTCTCTTCTCCTCTCTTTTCCTCTCCTCTCTTCTCCTTTCCTCTCCTCTCCTTCCTCTCTTCCTCTCTCTCTCTCTCTCTCTCTCTCTGTCTCTGTCTTTCTTTCTTTCTTTCTTTCTTTCTTTCTTTCTTTCTTTCTTTCTTT